GCGCCTAAAAATAACCTATTTGGGTATGTGCCACCCAAAAGGTGTCGTGATTTTAAGATTCCTGCTTCCCAATTTTCACACTATTAGCCGGAAACAAAAGCCATGCCGGGAAATAATTGTCCGGGACCTTGTCTAACGTTTTTAAAAATCTCTTCTCCTTCCGAGAAATTTTGGTAATCACGTGACCGTACGCCTGTCCGCGTGTCTGCACGTCCGTACGCTCCACAGAGATACCAATGTAAAATATTTCAATCAACGGGTATGGCAACCCAAAAGCAACTCGAGGTTATTTTGGCGGGAAATCGCATAGCCACCAGCGTCTTGTGAAGCAGTGACAACTAAAGAGTCAATAAAGACAAAAACGAAAAGTGGAAATTGTTTCTGTATCCGTGTCAGGGTCTAAAGAATTAAGCGTAGATTAATTGTCATGTCCACAAATTTGGAATACAGAGAAAGAGATCTAGAAAGACAGAGAAAAAGGAAAAATAGACGACAGGCCAGCGAAGCTCAACGAGAAAAATAGCGACGGAGAGCTTGAGCGAGAGAAATTTCGGCTGCTATGATCAAATGGAACCGACCATTTCGGTTTGGTCCGACCGAAATGTTCGGGACCAGCTTTGAAGGTGGTCCTCTTTGACCGGTCTGGTCATTTCGGTAGGTAGGACCGAAATGTCCCTTTCCATTTGACAAAATTGATGTCCCTAGAACCGCTCTTTGCTATTCTGCTTACAAAATCGCTTGCAAGAACAACAACCAAACGCTCGGTGGCTTGGGTCGGGTCTGAGTCATCCAGACCCTGAGATAAGGGGAGGGTGGGCTGGTCTCAAAATTTTTTTTTTCGGCCGTTCGGGCGTCACTTTGGTCCAAAAATAAGGAGGAACACCAAAATAGCGCTAACTCGCCGAAAACGCTTCAAAACGGCCTGAGACGCGGGCAAACAACAAAGAATACAACAAGGCAATAAAGTAAGTCGATTTTATTTAAAAACATAACATTTTTACTCTCTTTTAAGAAAAACCGTTTACATCCCACACAAGCCTTTGTAAATAACCGTTTGTAACACAACACCGCTCGCAAGCAAGAGTCACGTCCGCGCTTGGGCCACCTGTGACCTGGTAAACTAGTTTATTTATATGTTTGAAAATTAGCTGGAGAGGTACGTGGTAAAGCTGTGTGTGTAGTGATGTTTCACTGGTGCTCTCTGTCTTGTTTTTTATTTTTGTTATTTTATCTTTTCAATTGTAATTTTCTTTATCTAATTTTTGTTAACAAAACTGATATTCGTTACTAGCAAGTGGAAGGGGGGGGGGGGGGGGGGGGGGGGGGTCTAGTAGAAGGGGAAAATAGGGAGCACTGCGGGAGGACCATTTATATTTCGTTGGAGGAAGGGGGTGAAAGAGGGTGTATGTATTATCAGGCGTGATACTCAGGTCCCCTACTACTTACCTGTAGTTACTTTATAGCCTTTTATTTAGTCCACACGTAAACTGCGTTTTTGGGGACCGAAACGCAGGTTTTTGAAAACGGACCTATGAGAAAAGATTTTTAAAAGCGTCAGACAAGGCGCCAGACAATTATTTCCCGGCTAACAGTGTGAAAATTGGGAAGCAGGAATGTTAAAATCACGACGCCTTTTGGGCGGCACATACCCAAATAGGTTATCTTTGGGTACGACCCTGGTGTTAAGTGTGTCAACGATTCCGAACGATTCTGCGTCATTTTCATTCGTCTGCTGATATAGCCTCTCAATCTCGTTAAGCACAGTTTATTTATCAGTTGAAGTTTTTAGTGTCAACTGATCCAATTTATTCTTCTCTTTTACTGATTTTTACCCTATTTGGAGCGCTATGATTAAAGTTATCAATAACAATTTTAATAGCAGCGTGTTACCCTGTGGAAACTAAAGCCCTTACTTTAAAGTTTTACAAGTTGCAAATCACTAGCTATGTTCTCTGACGGACGAGTCATAAGCGACAGACTAGTAGAGAAATCAGATGTACATTGTAGAATAAAACAAGCTTTATTGACCTGCTTTAATCTACCTGGGTAATCTACCCATCCGAGAAATTTTGGTAATCACGTGACCGTACGCCCGTCCGCGAGTCCGCTAGTCCATACGCACCACAGAACTACCAATGTAAAATATTTCAATCAACAGGTATGGCAACCCAAATGCAACTCGAGGTTATTTTGGCGGGAAATCGCATAGCCACCCGCGTCTTGTGAAGCAGTGACAGCTAAAGAGCCAATAAAGACAAAAACGAAAAGTGGAAATTGTTTCTGTATCCGTGTCAGGGTCCAAAGAGAAAGACAGAGAAAACGAAAAAATAGACGACAGGCCAGCGAAGCTCAACGAGAAAAAGAGCGACGGAGAGCTTGAAATTTCGGCTGGTACATCAAATGGAACCAACCATTTCGGTTTGGTCCGACCGAAATGTTCGGGACCAGCTTTAGGGTGGTCCTCTTTGACCTGTCTGGTCATTTCGGTAGGTAGGACCGAAATGTCCCTTTCCATTTGACAAAATTGCTGTCCCTAGAACCGCTCTTTGCTATCCTACTTGCAAAATCGCTTGCAAGAACAACAACCAAACGTTCGGTGGCTTGGGTCGGGTCTGAGTCATCCAGACCCTGAGATAAGGAGAGGGTGGGCTGGTCTCAAAAATTTTTTTTTCGGCCGTTCGGGCGTCACTTTGGTCCAAAAATAAGGAGGAACACCAAAATAGCGCTAACTCGCCGAAAACGCTTCAAAACGGCCTGAGACGCGCGCAAACAACAAAGAATACAACAAGGCAATAAAGTAAGTCGATTTTAATTAAAAACATAACATTTTTTCTCTCTTTTAAGAAAAACCGTTTACATCCCACACAAGCCTTTGTAAATAACCGTTTGTAACACAACACCGCTCGCAAGCAAGAGTCACGTCCGCGCTTGGGCCACCTGTGACCTGGTAAACTAGTTTATTTTTCTGACGTAACGCCCTTGCCCGTGAGCGCGTTTTAAGAGTACTCCAGAAACGCGAGACGAGTGCTGTGAAGCTCG